GGGGGGGAGCCGCTGCGGGACTTGCGCGGCGCGCTGCGTGCGGTGCTGGCACGGGTCCGAGGTGGGGACCGGGGCCGGGCGGGGGCTGGGCCGAGCCGAGCCGAGTCTCCGCTGGCTGAGGTCTCTCTCTGCCTTTACAGAGGGCGAACCGGGCGAGGGCCGCGAGCCGTTCGAGCTGCCGCGCTTCTGGGACGCGCTAGGTAGGGGTGGGGGAGCGGGCTGGCAGCGGGCCACGCGTGGGGGTCAGCCGGCGGTGGGCCGCACTGCAGGGGCTGGGCTGGGTCTGGACCGGGGCGGGCCAGGGCGGACGCTTTGGGCTGCGGCGTAGGCGGGTATCCGCGGTGCCGGTGCGTGGCAGGGCTCTGACTTGCAAGCGAGATCCCCGGCAGATGTCCAGCCAGGGCTTTTGCGCTTGCCCTCCGCGCCAGGGTGTTGGCATTAGCAAAGCAGCGGCCAGTATCGAACAGTTGTCACAACTAGATTTTTAAAGCCCTTGGCCTCTGTTAAAGCCTCGCAGCACATCCTGGTGAAGGTGTCATGGACCAGGACACAAAATGTCATTGTGGATATCACTACCAGCTAAGTAAAAAAAAAACTAGGAAAAAAGCAGACATAGGACACATGCAACATGCATGGCACAAGTATACCATGGAATTTTTCTTCTTCTATAGTGGGATTTAGTTTTTGTCTTTGTATTGCTTAGAAGGAAGAAATGGTAATCAAGCAGTAGGGCAAAGTAGCATCAGAGATGTTGCTCATCTAGCTGCTCTGTTCTTTTGTCTTTTACCCAAGTTACTTTCTATTGTTTTGCTCTCATTGAATCCTTTCTAGGTCAGACATTCAAAGTAACGTCACAGGAAGCTACAAAGCTGAGTCTGGCATTCTCAAGGCCTCCACTGACTTCTGCAGAGGTGAGTGAAAGCCCCCCCAGACTCTGAAACTGTAGCGTGTGTGACAAGTCTCAGGTATCTCTTGGTTCACTTGACTAAAACTAAGTCATTTGGGTCAGCGCAAACAAGGGATGTCGGTATGGGCTATGCATAGTAGAGTATATTAATCCAATTCAAGAATTGCACAGAGAACTAATTTCTGTAAGTCAGGGAAACATACCAAATAGAAGTATTCTTATATTCTTTTCTTTAACAGCTACAGCTGGTTGCTGATAGAGATAGGATATGGGAAAGTAGAGACTTTAGATCCAACAAAGAATACACAATATTTTTGCTGTCAATTGAGAGAAGTTTGTGTGTTTGGAGGAGAAAAAAAAGACTTCCAGTTCAGAATAATGATCTAAGCTACTTCTTCCTCTCTGATGCATGACCACCACACCAGGGCATGTTTTGTTACCAAATCATGAGGTGGCTTATGATGTATACAGCTTGCTTACTGTATCTTCTTGTTGTGCTGTATTTGTTTCTCAAGCAAGATGGCCATTACTATGCTTCCCTTTTTTCAAAGCAATCTGAATGTAAGTGGTTGCTTGTGAGACTTCCTAAATGGGGTGCAGCCATGCACTACTCAGGGTTAATCCTTTTGCCTATCCATTTTCAGGATTGCCGGAAGCTGAGTGAAGATGTCCAAAATGCCATTCTTGCAGTTGCCACAGTGTACTACTGGCTCCCCAAGGGCCAAGGTGAGATAGTGACAGCAGGGCAGTCACCACTATCTAGGGTGGTGGTTCTTTCACCACTGTATAAAGAAACCCAGTATTTCAGAGCCTAATGTGAGATCTGGCATTTGCAGGTAAGTAAGTTATCATGAGCAGATAGTCCTATTCTCAGGTATTCTGTAGACTTGCAACATGTTTATGAGTGAACCACTTGTCTGTCTACTCCTGCAGATTTCCATCTGTGAAAGAGTGATAATGTAGGAAGTTGTATAGTTGATTGAGCATTCATATTTATAAAGTGTTGAGATCCTTGTCCAAAGTCCTTTTGGAACTGGGAAACGCATTGCTTCCTTCAAAATACCTGTAACTTCATTTATACAGTGTATCCACACAAACAGAGCAGTCTGTGTGTTCATCTTTGGCAGTTGCTTTCTGTCGGTGCTGACTTTGTGGCAACTTTCTTGCTCTTTCTCAATCTCAACCAGGTACTACTCTTCGGAAGATGGTACGAGATGCTACCACTGAAGTAGTGGAAGGAATGATCCAACTCACAGAAACAATTCTCAGTGCTCCATTGGAGAGGTAGTAATTTTCCAGAAAAAAAGGAAAAAGTTAGAAGCATACTTGTTAGGAAGCAGCAAGTGCAGACTGCTTTCTAAGGGAAGAGGGGAGGCAGAAGCAGAGCATTGTTATAAGGCGGGAAGAGGCAGTGGCCTCATCAGCAAAGGCCCTGTCCCCCTGTATCTGAGTGAGCAGAGCAATGTTGGTGAGGGTAGTGAGGTTCAGTTGAGAGTCCAGACCATCAGACAAACCCATAGTGATGAGGTCAAGCTGGAAAGTCAGTAAGGATCAGGATCAGGTCCAGAGAGAGTAACCAGCATCAGACACCATCCAGTGGTTGCCCAGCACGTCCATTACAATGAGTTGGGTCTGAGGTCAAGGCAGGAAGGTCAAATCAGTGGATCAGGATCCAGGTCAGAATCAAGGGGGTATGAGACTGGGTGCAGAAAAAACTGCTATGCAGCTGTGATGTAGCACAAACAGGGCCCAGTGAAAGAATCTCAGGGTAAAAGCATCTCCTAAGGTGAGAAAGGGCTGGCCCTCAATTCTAGCTTTCTTCACAATACCTCCTGTCAGCAAAGGAGCTGACCTTGTGCTTAGCCAACTGAACTCTTCAGCTGAGCCAACTAAACTCCTAGGAGGGTGCAATACACTCAAGGCCCTGACAGTACACTCTTGTCCCAGTGACTGAGTCAGGTGCATTTGCCTACATGAAGAATAGATTTTCATCCTGTGTGTAGTAAGGAAAGGTGCTGGGAGCAGGATTCCCGTGAAGGTGCTGGATAGCATTTGCACTGTTTGGCAGTTTTTGCCCTTGCCTGTCACACGCAATGATTGTGCAACTTTATAAAGCTAGTTATTGGACCACTATGGACTGCTTCCTCTCTTTATGGATTACACACCACTGTCCTTAGGCAGAGGACAGCAATCTCTATTACAGACTTCTGATTTGCATAGATGCTGAAAAGTAAATAATATGCCTAAGCACCTTGAGAAGCCTTTGTAAGAGGCTCCTGCTTCTTGTTCCAACGGATAATTAAACTCAGTAGGAGTCAGTACTTCTTGCTTTACACGGAGAGGAGATACTAGTGACAAGCTGGTTGGTGACATCTTTCCAGCAGAGCTTCTACTAGTGTGCATCACCTTTGGTGCAGAAAATAAAAACAGTCTAGCAGAGTGGTGTTATTGAGTCTGATGTTGGGGGGCTTTGTTTTGTTTTAGCTTGTCTCAGGAACAGCTTATATCAACTGGTGGTGTGTGGGAGGCATGTGAGCAAGTGTCCAACCTGCCACGAGGTGAGTATTGTATATGCAGAACAACAGAAGTAGGATGTGTTGTCTTGGAATATCGGTAGCACTTGCAAGGGGCATTCTAGCCAGTATAATGAAGGCTCACTCATTCTGCAAAACCCGACTGTTTTTGAAATGTATAAGCTTGGAAGCCAGGCCAGATTCTTTGCATGGCAACAATGCAGTTCTGAGCTCTGCAAAAAGTTTGATCCTATAATCTCAAGATCTAATGATCGCAAACCTAGATGAATGTTGTTGCAAGCTGATTTGAATCAGTGCAGTGCCACGATTTTCATCCTTTTGCTTTTGCAGATAACCAGGCAGCAGTTGCATCAGCTCTGGCTGCATGTCTAGGTGTGGTCAAGGATGCTCTGGAGGAGATGGAACGTGTAAGGAAGCCCTTAAGTCTTTGAGGAAGCTGCAGTGATGGATTGCAGTGGTGGTTCAGTGATGGAACACAGGGATTGTTTTATGTACAGGCTTTGATTTAAAATTTGTTCTGATATGAGCTAGATTATTGTATTATGCCTGGATCTTAATGAGTTTTTAAACTCAAGCCTGGTTTACTTTATATAAGGTTTCCATAAAGCCATGTCCTGAATTGCGGGGGCGGGCAGGTGGTGGCGGTTTAGGTTGATGTAACAATGGCACTATTTGCCAGGTTCTTGCTGTTTGCCCTGTTGAATTGGAGTGGGGGATTAGTTTTTCTTGATCCAGTCCTGCTAGAATTAACAGAATCTGGCAACTGAGATGCTGGTTGGAGAAAGATTCCTCCATAAATTATTTGTATGTTTTCTAGATTACGTTTTCCCTTTCCTCCTGGGTGTTGCTGGAATTGATGTCAGGCTCTAGGTTTTCAGTGCATCTGTGTTCTCAGGCTCTGGTGGAAGGGCAAGACCCCTACAGTGACATCATGGAAGATGAAGAGCTGGGCTTCCGGGGCAACAGAGATACGTATTGGTCAGAAGCTGACCGGAAACTGCTTAGCTCCTGCATGGGATTAATGAAGGCTTCTAAAGCTTGCCTGAAGAAGGTCTTGGGTGTAGTGAAGGCTTATGGCAAAGCTGATTCTCCAGAGCAGATTGCTCAGCTGGATGATCTTGCAGACATTGCTAATGAGATCAGTCCAAGGTAAACAGGTCTCTCCCCATGCTGCTTTTTGCTCCAGAGCTGTCCCTGTCTTTCTTGAGGTCTAGAGAACGGATTAGGAAAACCTTTATGATATTGAAGCCGTGAGCAGGTGGTGGAAGCAGGTGTGGTGGGAAGACTATTATGGCATAGGCTGTTGAGAGTTGTGCAAGTTAGGAGAGGAACGTACGTTGCACCTTGGGGTGGAGCTGTGGCCATGTCTCACTCTGAGGTGAGAGTGGCACACAGATATCTGAGAAGGCAGTGAGAAGCATTCCATGGGTATGACTGACATCTCCTTGTCATGCACTGCCGTTCCTGATTTACATTCAGGGTGGGTGTAGGCTTTGACCAGGATCCATGAGTTGTGCTGTCAGGACCTTTCTTCCATTGCTCCCCTCTCTTCTGTTCTAGTGTTGATGAGCTCGCACTGAGCATGTACCCACCTATGAACCAGTTGGCTGTGCGACTCAACGTAAGTATCTGCAGCCTGCAGCCAATTCACTTGGCTGTAGAGAAGGGGAAGAAATCAAATTGGAGGAATTATGTGACTGTCAGGGAGAGGTGGGTGTTAGTGACTGTCTCAGTAACAAGTTCTTAGGAATGAAGAGTCCCCTTTGATTCTTGCACACTTGGCTTCCTTCAGGTGGAAGTGCATTCCTTATCTTTACTTCTTCAGGGAAGAGCATGGCCACTTGAGCTTTGGCTCTGAACTGTAATCCGTAGAGACATCCAATGACAGTACCTCAGGAAAGTGAGATCTAAGGCTGCCGATGTACTGCATGTCTACTTTCTTCCTTGGGTAATGTAGACTTGCTCACATAAAGTTATCTAAATTAAAAATACAAACTAAAAATTCTTACAGTGAGCGTAGTTAAGCACTGAAACAAGCTGCTCGGAGAAGCAGTGGAATCTCCATCTTTGGCGATACTCAAAACTTGACTGGGCAAGGCTCTGAGCAACCTGACTGAACTTTGTGGTAGGCCTTGCTTTGAGCAGGAGGTTGTACCAGATGACTTCCAGGGGTCCCTTGCATCATAAATTAAGTACATATCTTCTCATATCTGAGATTTTTTATTCTTAATTCTGGTTTCATGCCTTTGGCCAGTGGCTTGATTTTTTGGGGGTAAAAAAGAAAGTATTGCTTAATATCAGATGGCATTACGGTCAGTCACTTGTAACTTCATGCCTTAATATTAGTTATCAATTTCTAGTAGGCTTATCTTTTTAAAGAAAAAAGCATTTTAATGTATGCTTTAAAAAACAGCCTGTCTTTATTTTCGTCTGTCCCAGCCAGCAGTAGTTTGGGAGATGCTTCCAGCATGGCAGTGATAGATAGCTTCCATCTGCATCAGGATCTGTGGCAGTTTTACTCATTCTTGGCTGTGCTGGGCATT